TGTTTTTGAAATCTGTATACATCTAATTTATCAGAGTATGATGAAATTACATATTTGGTTCAGGAAACGTCATTATCATTAAACGAGGAATATGGACTCTGAATTCTGAAATTTTAAGTGTCCTAGGACTCAGAGTATAGTGACACTCTGAAATGCTCAAATTCTGAGATTCTGAAAAGCTGAAGTTCTAAATGCTTTGGATTGCACAGTATAGTGGCAGTGTGAAATTCTGAAACTCTGAGATTCTCAATGCTTAGATTTTAAGATACTGAAATTCTGAGATGCTGAAACCGAAATTCTGGAATTCGCAGATTCTCATAGTTTTCCAGGTCACAGGATACTAACACATTAATCAAATTCTGACATTCTGAAATTCCGAAATCTTCTAGAATTCAGAGTATACCAGGCGTGTTCACTTATGAGATTAGAAATGTTTTTGGTTTTGTAATATAGTGATAGTGTGAAATTCTGATATTCTGACTACCACTATACTATCAGTCCAAGACGTTTAGAATCTCTGAACTCGAGAGTGACTATACTCTGAGTTCCAGTATATTTAGAATTTCAGAACTGTAGAATATCAGAACTTGAGAATTTCACATTTCCACTATGCTATGAGTTCCAAGAGATTTGGAATTGCAGAACCTCAGAATTTTAGAGTTTCACACTACCACTATACTCTCAGTTCCACAACATTACAGAAACTTAGAACTTTAGAATTTCAAACTATAACTATACTGTGAGTTCCAAAATACGTAGAATTCCAGAAGTGCACAAACTCAGAATTTCAGAACTTTACACTGCCACTACACTGTAAGTTCGAAGACATTTAGAATTGCAGAATTGCAGAATCTCGGAATATGACAATTTCACATTGTCACGAGACTATGAGTTCCAGGACATTTAGAATTTCAGAATTCCACACTTGTACTATACTCAGAGCTCAAGGACATTTAAAATTTTTGAATTTCGAAACTGAACACAATAAATCCGAATTTAAAATATAAAGTAGAAAGTTTCGGCGGGATGACGATCAGTCATCTGGACGTGTCAAGTACAAAAAATATAGTACTCAACAAACTGATCTCGAAACTTTTGAAAGAACCCACGGATACTTTCCAATACGTTCGATCAGAGTTAGGACGGCCTAGATTTGTGTTGGACAATTTAGCCACTACCGTTGCACATAGAGTTAAGCGAATTTGCAACGATGATATCGAGAAATACGCCAATATTGTTCATCGATTGAGTAAACGGGGATATAGACTGAAAAATATAATGTCTAAGATTCAGAGTTGACAAACTAGACAGATTGAATTTGTTAAAAGAGAAAAAATCCATTGCCTCTCAGAAGGATTTCGGACAAAAGACACAGAAAAGGGTACTTGTACTCACATATAACAAACAGTTTAATCTAATAAGAGAGATTTTTCGAAAATATTTGGTTCCAAATCTAGATTGATCTAAGTACATTCTGGTATATAGGTGTCCACAGAATTTACATCATTTACTTGTACACTCAAATCATTTGGGAAATTTAACGGATATTGTCCCATCATCTGCGTCTGAACAGGTGGGATTCAGGAAATGCTCAAGAAAATACCGTTTCTTCTGTAGTTTAAGTATAGACAACTGTACGAGTCTCTCCACTACATCAGAAGTAAAATTAAACCTAAATCAAACACTGAATTGTGACAAGCGTAACGTCTGTTACTATATTTGGTGTACGCGCTGTAGGGAGGAGTACATTGGTAAAATAGGAGCATCAGCTTGAGAACGTCCTTTTCAACATACATCCCAAATCAAAGTTCAACGGACTTCAATAGTTACGCTTTAGCCAGAAAAATTATTCCATTCGGGATGTTATGATTACACCGTTTGAAACGGATTATCTTAATGAAGATCATTGAAAAGCGCGAGAATCACACTGAATAAAGAACGTAAACCCCACTTTGAATGTCAAAATTTAATATAACTTAGTGAATGAAAGAATACTGTGATTCTTCTCGTATACTTGGTAAAAGTTTGTAATGTTTTCCAGAAAAGTTAGTCTAATATAGGACTTAAATTTGAAAGATGCCATTCCTATAGGGCGAGAGCCGTGATATTGTAAAAAATTTTCTTAAATCTGAAACAGTCTCGGTAATTGCTGTCATTATGGTGACAAATATATCGCCAAAACGGACCGTTTTAGATCCGTCTGCAATCGCAGCAATCATGATCCATTTCTGGTCATAATTGATTATACCCATTTACTATACTCTCAGTTTCAAGACATTTAGAATTTCACAACTGTAGAATCTTAGACTTTGACAGTTCCACACTCCCACCATACTGTGAATTCCAAGACCTTTAGAATTCTATAATTACAAAAGCGTAGAATTTGTGAATTTCACACTGTCCTGATACTCTAAATTCCACACAATTTAGAATTTCAGAATTCCACACTGTCACTGTGCACAAACTCAGAATTTCAGAACTTTACACTGCCATTACACTGTGAGTTCGAAGACATTTAGAATTGCAGAATCTCAGAATATGACAATTTCACACTGTCACGAGACTATAAGTTCCGGGGTATCTAGAATTTCAGAATTTCATAGTGCCACTGTACTGTAAGTTCCAAAACACTTAAAATTTAAGAACTAGAGAATCTCGAAACTTGAGAATTTCACACTTCCGCTACACTCTGACTTCTACGATTCTCCAGTTCTTTAATTCTAAATGTCCGGGAACTCAGCGTATAGTCAGTGTGTGAAATTCTCAAATTCGGAGATTCTGCGGTTCTGATATTCTAAATGTTTTTGTACTCCCAGTATAGCGGCAATGTGAAATTCTCAAATTCTAAATATCCTGGGACTCAGCGTATACTCATCGTGTGGAAGTCTCAAATTCCGCGACTCTGCAATCCTGAAATTCTATGCGCCTATCGATTGCTCGTCCACATCTTCCTACACGCCAGTTGTTATGCCCATTATTGTAGGGCTCACTTGGTTAAAATGGAATTAAACCGAGCGCCCGACATAAGCTAACAGTATTTTCGAAACAATCTGTAAAACGGTACCAGTCCCGTAAGGTCATATCGTCGATAAGTGGTAAAGGATAAAATGCCATTTGAAGAAACGTAGAAGAAACTTGAGTAGATTGAGGAAAAAGTGTGCTATTCTGCACTGACACTTCCCATTTTATACAAAATTAGATTGAGACAAACTAAGTTTGTTATTATTGATAACTACTTAGAAGTCAAAACTATGATTTCTTCTCACTCCTAATTAATTATATATATGTTGCAATTCTGTGCAGGAAATGAAATTTAATCATTAGGACCATGTCGTTCTATACTTCGCATCGTCTACAGTTTCTTAATACAATTGCTCTTTCTCCTTTCTGTTACATATAATATGTGATGTTTATTCTGTATAAGTACCCACAAATGAATAAATTATACTTGTTGTTGTTTCTATCAGCGTTTTTGTTTTGCAGTGCCCATAGATATATATAGATATATATGGGACTGTTATATATATATCTATAGTATAGCACCGTAAAAAAGTTGAAGAAAATCTTCAAGTTCCTTACGGACGTAACGTTCGACCGAACAGCTTCGATACCGTTCAGACCGAACTGTCTGAACGGTATCGTAAGAGACGTAACTTTTGGCTTACTGTTGGTTGGTACAGTACAGTACCACAAGTGCCCTATGGAACACAAAAGAGAAAAAGAAAAGAAAATAATACCTAACCAACCCAAAAACTATTCAAGATTCTTACAGATACCGAAAATCGCTGAGCATTTTCTATAATTCTAGAAAATCGAACTGAAAATTCGACCTGGAATTTCAAGAATCTTGGAAATTATTTATAGAAAATCGATCGATTTCCAACATTTTAGAAATTCGATGTAGAATTTCCAGAATCTTGGGAATTATTTATAGAAATTCGACCTCGAATTTCCAAGTTTCTCGTAAATTCGAATTTTCTAGAATCTAGAAAATCCTCGAGGAATTTATTTATGGACTTTTGAAAATCGACGAGCATCTTCTATAAATAATTCCCGACATTACAGTGTATATTGTTTTACATGCAAAACGATAGAGACCATTTGCTTCAACCGTTAAAGCGTCTCGTATGGAGTTCATTAGAAACTGGATGATGTGAAGATAGTCGTTCTCTGTGTCTGACTAGATATCATTATGGTAAAAAGGCGTAATAATAAAATAAATTTTGTTCTTCACGCATCATATTCATAAAAAATACTCAGCATCAAAGCGCAAATTTTGTATCAATTTTTGCATAAAGAAGAAGGAATACAAGATGTCCTATTTTGCTCTGCTAGAGCTTCACCAAAGAAATTCTTTTTAACTTTTGAATTTCATCGATAATTACTCGTCGATGGCATGCATTCTCGACTCCATATTTCTTGAAAAGATCTTGATCGTCAATATAATTGAGGAGCCAAAATCCATCGACGAAGTGCATCTTAAAAGCACCTATATAAGCCGCATAGTCGTCACCCAATGATTGAAGCCAATTGGAAACATCATCACATGACTGCAAGCTTTCGCGGAAATAACGTGCTAGAAAAAGAAACATTATTAGTATAATAGATTTTCAACATGCTCCTCAGAAAAAAACGCTTCAAGCCATTTCATATCAGCATTTTCTTCAATTTTAGGTCTGTCCGAATTCGCGTACAAATTCGCGTGCGAATTCAAATGCTAAATCGCAATTCCTATGGTGAATTCTCCAGTTGATGAAAAACTGCGAATTCGTACCAAGCCGAATTTCAGGGAGAATTCTCACAGTCGCGAATTCGGACACTGCTCTTCAATTTGAAGTCTCCTTTGATGCTACCTATCCGTATTTAGAGATCTTACGTATGGAGGAATACATGGAATACAAGTGTTGCGATGGGTGCAGATCGGAACCAGATCCCAATCCAGAAGCCTCGGGGGCAGCAGTATTGTATAGTGTTGTGTAAGCTCCATTAGTTTGACTAAACTATGCTGATCCTGTAGTCGATTCCAATTTTGAATTTGGTCCTATAGAAAATGACATCTGGGCAGCGGCATTAGGATTCGATTTATGTTTCTGATTGACTAAAGAGCACGTTTCAGAAAACTGCAGCGTTTTTGATTGAGAATTTGATGTCTGCATATGTGTTGGCTGTCCAGTCCAATTTTCCCTCTGCTCGCAAGATGAGCCGCTGGCTGCATTAGACTGCGGTTGGAAAGCTAAAGGAGGAATAGCCGAAATGTATGTCCCCTCTGGTTTCCAGCTCTGTCCTTCGTAACCTATCCACTTGCTCAAATATTGAATAAAATCATGAGCGTACAAGTGTTGCAGCCATTGTTTAGGCAATTTATTGTAACCATAGTGGGCGCCAGCTAATTGACCATAAATGGCCGCGGTTGTGTCAGTGTCATCACCGAGATTCACAGCAGCAAGAGCCCCTTTTTCGAATGAATCTTCGGACCAAAATGCCCATAAAGCGGCTTCCAGAGCACTGGCGATGTATCCTTTGCCTCGAATGCCTTTATCATATCCACCTTTCTTCTGATAGGATCCCTCAGCAATCTTCATAATGTCTGGATGGACTGGTATATTACTGAATAAATCCTCATGTTTAAGGTAAAACTTTTTGTCGAGCAGTTCGTTTTTAGTCAGATCATGGACAGCCGCGACAATTAGAGCACCATAGTAACGACATGCATCGAAGGCAACCCGATCACCGTGGCTAATTACTCCGCTAAAACCCGAGAATGCGACAGCTTTGAGAGGATGTTTCTGGAAGAACAGCGGTACAGGAGCGAGTCGCATTAGGGCTCCGTTACCGGCTACACCTTCTCTACTGCAGTACACGTTAAACTCTCCAAGAAGATCAAAATCGGAGAGAAAATCCATTTGCTCGGGAGGAATATGATGTTTCTTAGCAAATCCTTTTTGGCGATTTTCAAATTCAATCAGGGACTGTTTGGTGGCCGAACCAATATCGAAACATTGCCCTGTAGAGGACATATAACCATCTCTGAACCACCATTTGTAACGAACTAGCTGATCGTAAGGAACAAAATCTCGACGAGCTATCAATGAATTAGCCAGACAAAGAGCCATAGAAGTATCGTCGGTGAACTAAAACAATCATCATTTACAGTACCCTTGTCAAATTCCAGACCTGTTTCCGACATTGCTCAATAAGAAGACAAATCAAATCGATCAGGACAATAGATCTAGTTTTAGTTTTTTTGTATTTTTATAAGCGAATATATCGGTTCTTATTTTAGGAACACAACAAAACATAAAATTAGATCCGATGCAGACACACTAGTTTTCTCGATAAGTAAAAAATGACAGTGAAAAACTTTTATTTCTACGGCTTTAACAGCAATCAGGGAGCGGAGTCAAATCAAACTATTGAATAATTCGGTTCGAATCGGTTCGGCTGACGAGAAAAGATAACCAAGTATTACGCGTCGATTGAACTCATATGTTATCGATCGTCACGATTCGATAAGCCTAAATTTTTCTAACAAAACTTATTGTAGTACGCCTTCCTTTTGGAGACTCAACTGTTAAACAGAGTTCTGACCAGGGTTACAGAAAAGCATATCAGATGATTTTGACATGGTAGTTAGCCTGTAAATAGACCTCATGGCTCCTTGTATTCTTCGCAGTTCAAAAAGAAATAACATAACGGTTTTAATTCCAGTAGAAAAACGTATCGGGACGAATTCTTTTAGATTTCATGTAGTCTATCGTTTTAAACTTAGGAGCACATAACAGGTCTATCAGTGGGTGATTTTCGGCCTTTTCCCTGTTTTGTCAAATCGTAATGATGACAGATTTAAGACATGAGTCGAACCGAATGATTTCTTCACTTGTGGAATAGAATTAAATTCGAGTCAGGATTCTCCTCTCAGACGTTTTGATCTTTGAAATTCAATATATCCCATGGGAATGAAATGTTGTCAAAGCAAAGAAATAAAGCATGTTCCGGCAAGTGTCTAACTCACAAAAATCTGAGTGAACTAAACGAGACAGCTCTGATGCAGGAAATATTTAGTTAACTTGAACTTTTCAGTATAATCTCACTGATGATAAATGTTGTTTAAATACGAAAAGTATTCTTTCCAACGTTCAATAAATTAGTAACATTTCAGTTGAAGGAAAATTATTTTAAAGTAATCAAATGAATTTTTAAAGTTTGATACGGTCGCTTTATGCAGAGACTTGGTATCAAATATTAAAAAGTAGTATCACTATTATGCATCCAAGACAAGTACGCATCGGTGAGACATCCAACTAATTTAGAAAAATAGGTTCTATACTCGATCTGCGCTGTAGTCGAAATTAATTAATGGCACTAGCAAAGTCATGTAAAGAGACGATACCTGTCCTTTTTGGAGACCCCAGGTTCCTCCTCCCTGCAGATTCTTCACTGGATTATCGACTAAAAATTGACGAGGTCGAAATTCCACAAAAGCACCGAGAGCATCACCCAAAGCCATTCCTGTCATTGAACCTTGGATACGATCAAGTAGATCACTATTGATTTCGTCGGTAGGACCTTGCATATTTTTCTCGAGTTCGTCGGGCTTCACGATCAACCTGTTCCGATACTGACGATTAAGCCATGGCTTGTCTAAAAATACACATTCCTTTGCAATAGATTGATTATCTCAAATGCGTCAATGAAAAGTTTTCCGAGATGGATCAATAAGCTCTCAATCGTATCAATATGGATCTTTATATCTGACCTGCTCGAAATCGGCATGCAGGATGATTGTTTGATTGCTGGTCCATTCCTAAGAGACAAATAGACAAAGTCATGATCCCAATAATCAGAGCTATGCATTTTAAAAAAAACATCAATTGAGAAGGATAAATAAAAGAGTCAGCCAACAATAAGAGTATATGTCGGAGCTGTCGACGATGAGTTATCAGACAGTTTACTGGATCTTGTGATTCTGGCGTCCGACAAGACGAGCATGACCGAAAGCTGTCTAACACGAGATCTGTCACAAAACGGGCTAATCTACACACAACATATAGTGATATGTGCTCGTTCGGTTCTACCATCTCGGTTTCTAGAAATTAAAAAGATTTGGCAAAGCAGCATGTTACTGGTCAAAAACTCTGCCGAGTTTCTATCGCCAACTTATCTTTGTTTTAATAGTGAAACAGTGATATCTGTTCTTCTGCCTCCTCTGTTCCTCGCTGTCGTTGTATCAATACTGTCTTGGTTGTAGTGAATAAAACAACATTTTACCTTCGCCTTCTATCAATAAGATGTGACGATAATCAATTCAGTTTACCTTTTTACTCTTTTTCTTTCTGTTATTGTGCACATTAAGAGGCATCGTTCGTAAAAAATAATCCAACATCAAGTGAAAGTAACCAACGCAGAAATAATATTGACGGTGTAGTTTGTCTGAAAGAGAAGAATAAAAAATGCTCCGTTCGACAACCGCTGTGCGACAAATAATGTTGAGGAAGTGGCCAAAACATCATTGCTTCTTGTCGAGTGCTCTGTGCAAAGATTTTCTTTCATAAAGTGAATTTTTCAAAGTAAAATAGGCGAGACTATAAAGATGCTTTTCTGGCAGCTATTATCTCTGACTTGGATCAAATTTCTACTTTGAAATTGACTTTTCTTGCATTGAGGACAAAAAATAAGTCTGTTAAGAGAAAACGATAATCGTTACAAAAAAGTCTAGAGAAACAAATTTGCTTGATATTGACTGAGAAACCCGAAAAGGATTTGTCCCTACAGACCTATCTTTCTGAATTTTGATCGTTTTCGGTCATTTAGACCTATCTATTGACAAAATTTCAAATCGAAAGACATTCATTGGATTTTCTAAAAACACATTGCCACAGGTTAGAAAAAACAGAAAAACGATCATAATTCAAAAAGAACGTCTGTGGGGACAAATCCTTTTCGCGTTTCTCATACTTTCTCAAGGTCTACTTGTGAGCAAAATATCAGTTTGAAAGGCGTCCGGCACTTGCGAAGATTCCTCCGTAAATAGTTATTATATTTCCACTAAATTTTATTTCGAAACAATATTCAAGTTGGTCTTCCTATGGGCGAGCCGGGAAAAAGTTTTTAGGAGGGGCAATAAATGTTTTAGAGTAGCGTATGCACAAAGTATAGAAAAAAACTCAAAAAAAAAAGTATAATTCGAAATATAATTCTTCAGAGGGCAATAACTACTTATTGGGCTTGATAGTTTTTTCCAGGACGGGCAATTGCCCGTCAATGTGTCTTCCCATGTAAATTCAATGCGTCTGAAAAGACGCATTTTGACGCGTTTCTTTTGGAAGAAACGCGTTCAGACGCATCCGGCACTTTTTATTTAAAAAAACGCGCTCTGCCAACAGAAATCTGCCAGACGCGTCTAAACGCGCCATTGTAAGATGCGTTCAGACGCGTCTTAACGCGCTTTGCCAACAGAAATCTTCAAGACGCGTCTGAAATTTTTATTAAATATCTATATTGAGCTTTTTTCACAAAACTCGAGATAAGACCCTTTACAGGAATTACCGCTTTAACCGGTCTAAACGTGTCATTTGACGTCGGTTTGCCACACACAATACAAATGGACAACTTTCAACGGCGTGAACAACCTTTGGGAAATAGCAAACGTAGAGTAATGACCGGAAAAATTCTGTTTTCCTCGCAAAAACTATTTTAAAACCAGTGCTTTTAATATTATGATAGGTCCCGGTTAGTTTTCTCAAGATAGGC